GAACACTTTAGAGCAGTTGAAAGAGGTCCTTGTAGAATTCATCCTTCACTTCTGGCATACTTCAATCAGTTGGAGCGTTCAATGACCGCACACTATCAGATCGGTCAACAAACTGCTTTAGCTTTCAATTTAGATGTATGTTGTGTCTCTGAAACACGCATATAAGACCCTACTTCCATTATCTACCTGCGTTCTCCTGATCCAACCTCAACCTCACGCTTCACCCTTCGTGTGTCAGGCGACTCGGCATTCGAAGCTCGCAGTGTTGCTGGTGTTGGGATTGCGCTAATTGTCAAGGCGGAGTGCTCGCTTCTTGACTGGATTCTAGTCAGTGCTCGACTGTGCGCTGTACGTCTCAACGAATACGACGAATAGGTATCGATGCTTCGTTCTGTAGCTGTTAATCCGTACTGAACCATCCAGAAGTACAGCGCAAAGTCGGCTGCTGCCCGGGATCCAGTCGAACGCTCGGCCTTGATACTTAGCGCAATCTTAACACCAGCAACACCGCGAGCTTCGGATGAGGCAAACAATGAACTTCAGCGTAATTGATAACTCGTGTAAAATGTTGCTACAACATGGGGTTAGCCCGATCCCCGGCCTCACTCTAACAGCTAAAGTTATAGACCGAGTGGATTAGATTTGCAATTGGGGAAGCTACATCTCACATGGCGAATGTATCACAGATGAACTGTCGGTACGTATACAGACAGTTGGTTTGGTATTTGCCAACTTGAGATATCTGTGGTGCCGTCGTGACATCTGACTGTCTATAAAGGAACGATTGTATGGTGCAGCAATTCGGCCAGTTACTTACTTTACTTTACCGCGGCTGACTTAGGCTAGTGCTGCTTTACGGAGGGAGCGCAGACTTGGTCAATACGGGAACAAGATTACAAACAACAAGTTGAATAATAAAACAAGGAGTGGCGAACAAGCTCGTTTTGAGTGATTGCTACATAAATATAAACAGCGTGATATTTATTGTGATGTATTTGGCATGACTACGAATCATTGAAAACGAACTTGTTCGTGCCACTCCTTGTTCTATTTGAAATGTGCTAGGTGAGATTGTTCAGACAATTTGAATAATAATAATAAAAATAAATTTGAAAAATTTGAGTTATCGGTGTTCGAAAACCGCATTGCACAAGTATGTTGGAGAAATCGGGCAAACGATGCTGAGGTTAGACACAGAGCTTCAGACAATCACAGTGGTTCTCTGAGACATGAGGTCGACCTTCGTAGACCAAGCTGATTGAGACATGTATTGCGTATATAGATTACCAAGGAGAACAATGTTAGACGAGGTAAAGACAGATTGGAAAAAGGTCAAGGGTGGTCAAACAAACACCTGGCATGAGGATATGAAAACCCTGACCAGGAGAGTGACTCACATAGGTCCCGCTAGGCTCTTTGGTTGGGGACCCGAAGAGAGACACTCAACGATACGGCTAGTTGTCGCAAACAGTGGCGCGTGCGCGCGCGTGCATCTACTCATAATTTCTTCAATTTCAGTCTATACGAATTTTCCATCTCCCGCTTGAATTCATTCTACTCTTTTTTCTACTTTTTTTTACCCTAAAAAAACAGTAACTAAAACCGGGGCATGAAAATGCATGGTTGCATGCTTGCACAAAAACAAACAAAACTGAAAGTACGTTGGATGAGTAGTGTAACAAAGTGCCAGACATCAACATCAGAATGACTGCGTTGAGTGTACTAGTGACACAACCAAGCACGTTTTCAAAATGCAAATTCTAAGCACACTTCTTCTACTAACACTGACAGTGATTAGTGCAAAATGCATAGAGAAGAGTAGGTGTAGACTAGGGTAAAAGGATACTAAATCATGTAGATCACATCATATCATACCATGTAAAACTCGAAAGCACTTAAAACATTTTTAAATAACAGATGCCAAAAGAGGACAATCAAAACGATAGCACTTAAGTACTAGGTTAATGAATGTATAAAGCGGAATACAATGACCTAAACGAAACTGCATAATGTTGTTGGCATGGAAACATTCACGGGGGTTACGTACATCATCAAAGTGGAGACGTTGCACGTCACCGGTCTGTTCAGGGACAGTGGGTAGCACAGAGGACCGTTCCGGAAGTGCTGCTGCCGTTGTCGTCGTCGGATGTGACACAGTTTTACGACGCAGATTATACGTAGATGTACCGGTTAGTTGGCCCGGATCTATATCTTTCACGGTTCTCGCGGGCTCCGACTCTTTCGCAGGATCGCTGGTCTCAAACGAGTTAAGCGGATTCTCATCTGAATGTCCGTCTGTTCTTGTATTCAGTCGTAGACGTCGAGCTTTCTCACGATACCTGAACGAGAAGAATAGACAAACATGTGCACCAGAGTAATTACCGTCATCCGAAGCAAACGCTTCCAACACTGTTAAGATGGACTGGTGGATACATCACGACATCAAGTGGAAACGAATAAAATTTTCACGATACTCCCTCCACGCGTCGTCATTGACGCGATGCTCTTGGCAAGTAATGCTGGCTTCCATTCCCAAATAGAAATTGACACGAGAAGAAAAAAAACAGAGAAAAGAGTCGACAGAAGACAGCGCACCCGTTTGCACGTGGCACAACAACTGGAAAACTCACCGACTAGTCTACCGCAGATAATCATTTGCATTCCGGCTGCATTTAGTCACTACACATCTCTGAAGTATCACATTGGAATAACTTTGCAATGACGGGAATAATGGTATCTGATCTGTCATCAAGTGGAAAAGCGATAAAACGGATCAAACATAAAAATTGACCTAGCAGCATGTGACCAGGTCCGGGCAAATCGGAACAATGACATAGAATGACAGATGAAAACAAAAACAGGATGAACCGCGTTGTTCAAGTCACTGCTGTCATTGTACCGATTACCTCTAACCCCAACTATGTTCGTCCTTGTCTGTGGTCCACGAGAGTATATCGATCTCCAATGTGTGTGCGTACGAGGCGCGCGGGTACGATTATTGATCAATCATTCAGTCAATGCCTGGAGATTCTCGCTTGACACGTGATATATGTATATATATATATATATATATATATATA